CCCGCCGCCAGTGCCCGTCGTCATCGTCTTCGGTGTCGACGTCGTCGGTGGTGAGAGGGTAGGCCGGGAGGAGCGCCGTGGTTCGGGGCTGCAGTCCCGACGCTTCGGCGCGGACGTAGAGGGAGTGCGCCTGTGTTTTTTCGGTTTGTCCATTTTGTTTTTTGGGGATCCGGGGGTGTTTTTGGTAAAAGCTTGTACGCAGTGGAGTGGGCGGGGGACGACCAAGATTCCGAACAATGAAAGGGGCTACGGCCTTTAAACTGGGGTAAGCGCAACACCTTCCGCTGCGTTCGGTGTGGGGCGAGGATGAGACGGAAACCAAATGGGTTTGATCGAGACGTGAACACAACGCCTGCAAGTCCGTCGAAAGCGATAGGTGCGTGTCCTAGAACCCACCCCGGATGTAGGCGCACGGGAGCGTCGCTTTTTACCAGCCCTCACGCGACTCGCGCCTTCAAACAAAACCCCCCACAGTTATTGTACATACGAAAACGGAATACTTCTACGTGAACACGCCTCTAACTCACCTCTAGGGCGATCTCTGGGAGAGCCGAGCCCAGACACCGCGCTGCGAGCTCCGCGAACTCCTCAGCAGCAACGGCTGCCGCGGCCACCGCCGTAGATTCGTCGCCGCTTCCAACGCTCCCACCCTCAACACGGACGCTGCTGTCGATAGTAGTACTACTAGTGCTGCTTCTGGTGTCGCCGGCGTCACCGCCGTCACCGCTAGCGGGAGGTATTGGCGCCGGCGACGATAGTCTGCTTTTCCCGGTCTCGCCGCCATTCTTGCTGCTGCTGCTGCTGCTGCTGCTGACACCACCGCCGATGACAACAACACCGTCACTAATAGAAGCGTAGCTGCTAGTCCCGTCACTTCCGCCGTAGGCGCCCCCACTCGATACGACGCCGCCCGTGCTACTAGCATAGGAGCTGGTGGAGGAGTAGGAAGGGGAAGGCGAGGGGGGGGGCGAGGCAACCGGAGGCGGCAGGGACGACGAAGCGGGGGATGCAGAGGAGGACGTCGGGGAGGCGGCCGAAACCTGGGCCCCACGATACTTGACTACGGCCTGCCGCAACAGCTCCACCGCGTCTGCTCGGGCAACCGGCTCCAGCCGCCGCCCCCGCCGCCCCCGCCCCTTTCGCTTCCTCGTCTTCGCTGTTGTCAGCACTTGCGCTGTCTTCTTCGCGACGCCCTTACCCTTCGCTGCCAACCCTTGAGCTCCTACCACACCCTTCTTCTGCGATCCCGCGACCGCAGACGACGCCGCGGCACCACCGCTTGACGACGACGCAGCTTCGGCTGTCGTTGTCGGGCTCACGCCGAACAAGGGCCCGGCACCTTCCTGCTGCTGCTGCTGCTGCTGCTGCCTGGCCAGCGTTGCTCTCTGGGACACCTCACGTCGCGCCTGCACCATCGGGATGGAGTTGTGCAAGTCGCTCCTCACGTGCCGCTTTGCTGCCGAAGGAAAAGAGAGAGAGAGAGAGAGAGAGAGAGAGA